ATTTTTACTGGTATTTCAATTTGGCCTATCAACGCACCGTCTTCTTGTGTGTGTGTTTTTTTCCATTTTATTTCTAGCGTCGACATTCTTGAAGCAAGCGTTCGAGGGGGAATACCCAAAACTCTTACGACTGTACAATGATTTGTGGTCTCGCCTACAGCAGTTTAGCAGCGCGTCAAATGTACCTTCAGCTACTCTTGTATCGCAAATGGAGCCTTCATTCAGTCTGTTTCCAGCACCTGAGGATGACTTTAGTATAAGGTAAGTTATGCTAGTATTGAACTACAGTGAAAGTTAAAATTCTTGCTGTTCTGTGGTCGTCTATTCTTATATTAAGCTGTTTAGCAAGTTTCCTGAAGCCTTCTCGACCAACTGGTGTTATATGATGTAGATTTATTTTTATACCTAATCGAACCTTTTCGGTAAGCTTCGGTGGCATATCAGGTGAGTTTGGTGGAGCCATGGTTCGTATTTTGGGAGATGTAGTTAAGACAAAATACTCATGGCGAAACCAAAAGAGTCTGATATACCACCGAATACCAAAAAAAAGTACGATTTGGTATTTACCCAGTATTTACTGTACCCCAATTTGGTAAAGTGACCAAGATATCGTAGCCATATCAGATCAGTGACTTGATAACGCAGGAAATCAGCACAGTACCGACACGGCTTCTGATTGGCTAAATGCGAATTTGGGTACGTTAAATAAGTGAAGAAAAGTTGTGAAAGTGTGAAATGTAAGGTTTAATCAATGTTTGATTTTTCTCATCCTTAGTCCCGAACAAGCCTTGAAGGACAGCCTTGCCCCGTTTGAGAATGCCTACCTGTCCAGGTCTTTGTCCAGACTGTTTGACCCCATTAACTTGGTGTTTCCCTCTGGAGCACGCAATCCTCCGTCCAAGGAAGAGCTGTCCAGTATCGCAAAGACGATTGGCAGGTTAGACTTAAGAGCCTTGTGTGCTGTTGCGTTACACATTCACTTTGGCTTGTCACATAATCTTTGTGGAAGATAACGCAACGAATCATTAGCTTGAGAGAAGTAGCGAAAGGAATGACAATATCTTTTTTGGCGGCTAGAATGTTTATAGACCTCGAATGATTTTGTTGTAACCTATTTTTAACCCCAGCTCATGTTCAAATTAAAATTTTGGGGATCTGTGCATCAATTTCAATCGCGAGTTTTCTGTAGCCTGCAGAACAGGTGGATTGGCGGGCCAGGGGCCCGTTTCTCGAAAGCCCCCGAAACGTTTTGGGCCCGCGAAGCCATTTTTAGTTAATCTGTAACTAAAACCAGAGAAGTGTATACGACTGAAACTTCTTGAACGCAGGGAACCTCTGTTCGTATTAAGAATATGTGGATAAAACAGCTCTGAAATCATAAGGTTTGAGACTTTGCTACGGCTTTCTGGGTGAGAAACCTTTTCGGGAACCTTCGAGAAACGGGCCCTAGAGCGCGAAACGCGATACACTGGCGCAGAGACCGACCACGAGCGCGAACTCCCTGTTCTGCAGGCTAGTTTCTCTGGCGCCTAACACCAATAAGGCAACATGGAGAGATAAGAAAGCTAGGCTCTCCTGCTGAACAAACTGTGACGAAAATGGCAAATTGAATGAAGTTTCTCGTTGCCAGATTGTATCGCATTGCATAACTGTTTTACAATCACGTAGAACCTCTCTTTACTCAAATTATTTCCTAATTTTGCTTCTAATAACTACTTGTTAATCCTCATAAATCTTTGTTCTGTTGTTTGAACTATTCTACTAGTGAGCTGAGTGTTGCCAGTGTCGATGTGGGTCTGACCATAACTGTAGCAAGGAATGTCGCCAAGACGATACAGCTGTACACCGCAAAATGTGAACAACTGGTGAGAAAACCTTTTTCGGTTGTTATTAAGCTAACTTGAGTCCAGGAGACACAAAGAGAACGAGAGTTTTGAGAAGATTAGGTCAAGGGAGTGGGGCGAGATTAAGTTGCAGGCCGGGAGAGGGACTGGAGAGGAGTTTGCGACCACAACAAAGGGAAGGGGTGGGTTGAAACATCTTCTGAAACTCTTCAGTGTGACTTACGAATTGCGATAATTTGATGACATGTGGTTTGGCCTTTGGTAAGGTAAAGCAAATCCAATATTATGAATTAGCCTAGCTAATTGTGTAATGCCCTTAGCTACTCAAATTTTATGTTAAGAGTTTGGGATAATGTTAAGTCTTAAATCTTGGGTAAAAGGCGTCATTGTCGCATTTTGAAAGCGCGAAGCAGTTTACTCGACGGGGCATTTAAAGGAAATATAAATTTATCTTTCGACTACGAGACAAATTGAAGAGGGTGTTTATTTATAATACTTTTCTGTTATTTATTTTTATAAGACGATTATACATATTACAAATGTAGATTTACCATGCAAAAGCCTAACACAGTAAAGGACTCTGTTATCGCTCTCCTCTGTGTTTTGCTCTCTCACTGATTATCTCCTTTAAATCCTTAGTGTTTTCCTGTTTGGAATCATGTTCTCCCAACGTAGTTTCTAGTATTGTCTTCTTTTCCCACTCTGCCGTATCCAAATGTTCTTCAGTGTTGAAACACTCTGGGCACCCCAGTTCTTCGATGTTTGGGTTAATATTTGAATTACAGACCGACCCTATGGAGGGTGTATTATCTTGTTGCAGTCGGCAGTGTCTACTTAGTGTTGGTGTGAATGATGTGTCCTCTGCTGTTCTAGCAGTTGATGAGTAATCCTTAGCCAGTCTAAATCTTTCCCTTAGTGCCGTAAATGGCTTTGCTTTTAGCTCGGTTTGAGCTGGTGTTGCAAACCGAAAGATGCCTGAGGATTCAATCAAACAAGTTAGCCAACAATAACAGCACAGTGGTTAGGCTGCGGGGTTAGGGCAGTCAGATTGTCCCCCAAATTCTTCATTTGGTATTAATTAATATTTAATCATGGATAGAGAGGGTATGTTAACAGTGAGAGTCTTGTCTAAGAAAGAAAAATTTGGACTTCTTGATTCCAGGTCAAATGCACTATAAGCCAGCCCACTGTAAGTAATGTTAATTTGTAGGCAACGTTGTAATTTACTTAAAGTTTATTTTTTCTTTACAATAATTTATTCAGGATACAACAGCATGTTGTTGAACCATATTTCAAGATAAGGTCAAGAACAGCCCAACTTCGTAGGCTTCAGGTACTACCTACTAGAAAATTATTATATAAAATTGTAATTACATGTAATAGTAGACAATTTGATTATTTTGTCTCTGTGTTAATAAGAAGGCACTAAGATGCTATGATGATACAACACTCACTCATCTTCTTCGTCTCAGTTAGGACATACATGTAACAATGCTGGAAATAATTTTTCTTCCTTAACATGACACGTGTCCTTTCAAATCTTCATTTTGGTTGGACATCTTATCAATTTGAGTGGACATCAATTAGCATAATTGATTGGTACAGTATAATTGATTAGTATGATTAGTGAAATTCATTAGCATAACGATTTTGGTTAATTTGCACTGCAACTAAACAGGACAGTGTAAATTACCTTGCTGTCGGCCATTATAACACATTTTACTGAACAGACACAAAAACTGTACATCTATGATCTTCAATTTCAGCAGGTCCAGACTGGCAAATCATACAGTAAAAATAATACTTTACCTCTAACATACATGTATGATTTGTGTAATTCTATGAAAATTATTAAATAAATTAAATATAATAATATGTTTGACCCTCAACAGGAGGCATGTGATATTTTAAGAAGAGTGATAAGGGTAATCTATCTTACCAAACGACTTCAAAGCCAACTTCAGGGAGGAGTGAGAGAGATCACCAAAGCTGCTCAAAGTCTCAGTGAACTTGGTAATTAATCTAATGTTGCTGCTTAATTTTCTTACATGTAGTATGCCAAAATTAATAAATATTTATTTTGGTGCTGTCCTTAGAGACATTACTATAATAATATGGAAACCTGGGCATTATAATATATCCTACAATTCATCTGAAAAGGCAGAAATCAGACTTGTACAGTGTATATGTAACTTCTCTGCAATATGGACAGCTCCATAATACATGTACATGTGTGACACTGTCTCCATCTCTTATGCCTCTTTGGTGTTCTAGAGGTTTGACTGTGTTACAAAGTTCACAACTAAACTTTTCTGATGTAGATTGGATATTGCACGGTATGCTTGAGTTCTGATTCCGTCAAGAAGTTCGTTTAGCCTTTGTATCTCAAACTTGGATATCTTGAAGTCCCTGCCATCTCAAACTCAAATCACGTCCCTTGGACATGCTTTTTAGTCATTTTCTGTTAGCTATCTTGTGCCCCAGTTATCTCAAACTTTTAGTGTAGTTAGATAGGATGGTTGAATTGTGTTTTACTTAACTTATACATGTATATGTACAACATTTTGCCTAAATTTTGTTTTAGATTATCTTGTTCAAGGAGCAGATCTCTCTGGAATCCAGGTGCAGTACATTTACATGCAATATCAACTTTCGCACTCCATAAAATGCATCAGTGTTAAATGAGTGAAAGTGTTTTTGTTTTTCATACTTCCATTGTTATTTTCTGAATTTATCTCCTGAATTTTATTTTGTAATTATTTTCAAATCCTTGAACATTTCAGGCTGTAGAAAATGACTTAAAAGTTGCTGCTAAGGCAAGGAAAGAAGTTGAAAACCAGGCACAGAGAATGTTGGCTCAAGGCATGGAAACACAGGTATATGCACGCAAACTGGCCATCGTAATTAGATCAATGTTGCGTTGTTGCAAAGCAACCCTGAGAAAACTAGAGTCTGATGGCAAGCTTTAGGATTCAAATTCATTGGTGACACTTTCAGTTGCATATCCAGCAATCTTGGGAAACAATTAGAAATGGAAAATTATATTGTCAAAATTTCACACCTCATTTAGAAACAGATAAAAGAAAACAGACACACATATATATTATTAATATACCCTACAACGCACTTTGGGATGGATACAAGAAGGATGGCTAGCAATGCAAAACAATGTTTCAGGAGTTACAGTCAAATAACTGGTTTTCCTGTTGAGAATCAGAGTGGAAATAAACTCATATCAAATCAGCAGGCAAAGAGAGTTGTGTCCAATGGACCTTTTTACCTATGTCAAGCTTCTCCAATTTTTTTCATTCAAACAAAAAATAAACCATAGTGCTTGATTTTATAAAATCATGTCAAATTTAGTAAGTATGTGAAGATTCCCTAGAATCCGTTGCAAGCTCATAAAAACAAGGAACACCTAACTTGCCAATTTTTTACAAAGAAATGTATGCCAGGGGGTAATGCTTGTTCCCTGGTATACATTTCCTTGTACATTTGAGGTCCCATATTTTTATGATTTTGCAACGGATCTTATTGAAACTTTGCAGATATAAAATATTTACTAAATTTGGCATGATAAATTAAACTATGGACCGAGGTGTTTTTAGTTTATATGAAAAATGCAAAAAAATTGTTGATATTGTGTGACAGTGGTAGAAAGGTCCATAGCCCAGGGCTAGTGGAGGCTATTCTTTTTTTGCCTTATGGGCAAGTGGAATTTTGGAGTAAAATCTGACAAAGTTCAACTCACAGAAGTACTGTTAGAGATCAAATTATTGGTTAAATTCAATTCTTGATTAATTAATCGTATCTATAACAAAATTCTCGATCGTGATTGGTTCTCTGCACACCTATTTGTCACGCAATCGGCACGCGATCACGTGGGTGTCTAATTGCAGTTATCCAATTTGAACTTTTCGTAATTGGATACCCACGTGATATTGCAGGTCAATTACATGTATGCGTGCTTCAATGGCTTCCTTTGCACTGTTTCCTACGGTTTTCAAAACTTATGAAAACCGTTACAGATGTTTTTGCTCAAAAGAAGTTCTTGAAAGACATTTTTAATTCTGAAAATTGTTATAGATACGATTAATTAGTAATTGGACCTCATGTCGTACAATTCAGGGAGTAATCGTGCTCGCAATTTCAAATCGGCCTCGTGCTTTGCGCTCATCCGATTTTGAAATTACTTGCGCGATTACTCCCTGAATTATACTCCACATGGTCCAATTACTATAACTAATCGTACTAGTGAGAAATTGTTATCCCAGTTACAGTAGCTAGTGGACAGGACTGTCGAGCTAGTAACTTCTAGATGAGCTTGCCCAAGGAGAAAGCTGGAAAACTGATTTCTTTACATCCTCATCAAATGCATTTTGATGGGTTAGGCTGGTTATGTTAACGGAAATGCCTTTTCAGCTCTGTAAGTTCTTTCACATGCTAACAAAAAAATCCTCGAATTCTCGCAAACCAGTGTATTTAAAATCAGTGGACATCACTGAGGAGAATCTCTTCTTGTATGAGTTTTGGGTGGTAATTTTTTTTCATGCAGAATCAAACCCAAGTAGCTACTGCCCTGCAAGTGTTCTACAACCTTGGCTCACTTGTAAGCACTGTGGATGAAGTTGTTAACAAAGTAAGGGACAACTTGAAAAATGGAGTGAAGGAAGCCTTGGATCCCAACACACTCTCCCAGGCTCAACCTAATGCAGGTACAGTGTATAGGGAACACTATGGATGGGGGATAGGGGATCGTGGGTGGATGAATAGGGAATACTAGGGGGTGAAGGAATCCTTGGATCCAGACACACTGTCACTGGTTCAACCTAATGCAGGTGTAGGGAACACCATGGATGGGGGATAGGGGATCCCAGGTGGATGAATAGGGAATACTAGGGCGTGAAGGAAACCTTGGATCCAGACACACTGTTACAGGTTCAGCCTAATGCAGGTATATGAAAATACCATGGGGAGGGGGAGCATGGTTACATGTAGCTATAGGGGATCCTAGGGGGATAGACAGAGAATGCTAGGGGGTGAAGGACGCCACACTGTCACAGGTTCAACCTAATACAGGTATAGGGAATACCTTGGGGGGGGGGGGGGGGGNCTTGGACCCGAACACATACAATGCGATTGCTGGTAGAAGCTACCTACACTGCAATTATATGACTTTCTATACCCCGACATTTCTTGTATATATACGCATGTGTCTTAAATGAGTTACTTGTCTGGGTAGACCTACTTGTAGGATACACACTATAATCATCAATGAGGGTTTGATTTAATTTTAAACCTCATATAGTTGCTTTAAGAGGACTTATTAATAACAATTATTTTCCATTTTTCTTGAAAAAAAATGAACATGTCTTTCGCGTTAGGGATGAAATGTTCAATGGATTCCGTAGCTATTAGCTTAGAACAAAACATTCAAAACGATTGAAAGTGTGCACGTAAGTAATTTTGATATGGAAGGTCTTGCACTGGCACTCATTTGAAACAGAGGTAAAACAAAATTGGGAATGGCCCAGTCAGTTGTCATACATAGGATGAGAATTTATTTCTGGTCAGGATTATGGGGTAGCATTAACTTGCAGTGCAGGCGTATTGTAGCAGACAAAAGTTCAGTATTTCTTTGTGAAATGTTTGGCCGCCATCTTGAATATTTGAAGCAGAGAAAGGTGTGGGTGGGGTAGGGGGGGGGGGGGGGAGAATTTACTTTCTACCAAGGTGATAAGCTATAGGTGAACAATGGCTGCAAACATGGTAGCTTGGTGAACGATTGCGGCTAGGATGCCATACCAGTTAACACATTACTCATTGATATCTCCAATCCCACAGGGGCTGGTGGTCCTGGTCGTGCAGCAATGCCCACTCCTGGGAACACTGCAGCCTGGCGAGCCACTCTGTGGACCCGTATGGAGCAACTCATGGACTTGATTTATTCAGCATGTGGCCAGGTAGAGCTACATTTTACACTACATAAACCGTTTTTTTGCTCAGTTAGATTCACAAGTGTGTTCCATTAGTTTTTCTCAGTTCTCTCTTGTTGACTTTGGCCACACAAACAGTGTTATTTGGGGTGACCAACTTGAGAAACGGTATTGCCTTACTTTTAACTCGTGTCTTCGTTCCTTAAGAACTGCGCAAGGATGACAAAACGAGCGACTCTCGAGAGTTCCTTCACAAGCTCGATTTTGATCAATTTTAGAAACAATAAAAATGAGCAGAATTAATACACACAAGCAACTCAGAGTAGCCCCTTGTTTCGCAGCCAGGCATACATGCGCAATTCATCTGGCACTCCGATACTTAGTACTTCCAAACAGAACTTTCCAGGCTCGTTCGCTTTTTGACGGCTGGCAAGGAAAACAAAGAGTCGGGTGTATGTGCAGATATGTTTGTTGCAGATAGGGGAGCAGGGATGGCGCAGTGCTGAGAGCGCTCGCCTCCTACCAATGTGGCCCGGGTTTAATTCCAGCCAGTTGTCATATGTGGGTTGAGTTTGTTGTTGGTTCTCGCCTTGCTCCGAGGGTTTTTCTTTGGTTCTTCGGGTTACCTTCCTCCACAAAAACCAACATCTCCAAATTCCAATTCGACCAGGATGGAGGACCCACATGAAACCAGCTAAGGCCGATGTGGCCTCCTCTCTAAACATTGTAACCGATTTTATTTAGTATTTAAAAGACAATTAAGCATTTTATGCTTACACGAGAAATTACCTATTTATTATTGTAAATGTTCCATAAGATTTAAGACAAAATACAATGAAAAAATGAAGTAACAGTTATGTTTCTAAGGGCGTGAAGTGTTCAGTTCAGCTTTTAGCGAGTGAATTCTTTTGTGTAGGTGCATCATCTTCAAAAAGTTTTGGCCAAGAAACGCGATCCTGTCACTCATGTTTGCTTTATGGAGGAATTATTGAAGGTACAGCTACTTCACACCGTTTTAAAACTAGATGTCGATTTGACCGTGTCGCTAACTTTGTACTTCCTCAAACTTTTTGCTAGGAGGGAAATACTTGTATTGCCTCGTTCTGGAACTCGGTGACGTCAATTTTGACCCAGGAATTTTCACAGTCAGCCCAAGGTTAGTTGATTCTAAGTACACCACAGGCTAACCATACCTGTGCTACCTTCAGCAAATATTGTTTGCTTACAATAGTAGGAACATATAATACAACTGCTTTGAACTCGCAGCGTTGCTTTTTATGGCAGCATTGAATATTGTACGTCGATGATCAATTTTGTGTTGACTAAACTCTACTTTGGTAAATTTGTTGTTGACTGATATGTAATTACTTTTAAATTTAGCTTTTCCTGACAGTCTGAACTATACAGGATGTTGCAAAATTATTCCAAGCGCTGCCTGGCTGTATATCTTCTGTGCAGAGCTGTGCATAGCAATCTTGGGATAATTTTTACTGGTATTTCAATTTGGCCTATCAACGCACCGTCTTCTTGTGTGTGTGTTTTTTTCCATTTTATTTCTAGCGTCGACATTCTTGAAGCAAGCGTTCGAGGGGGAATACCCAAAACTCTTACGACTGTACAATGATTTGTGGTCTCGCCTACAGCAGTTTAGCAGCGCGTCAAATGTACCTTCAGCTACTCTTGTATCGCAAATGGAGCCTTCATTCAGTCTGTTTCCAGCACCTGAGGATGACTTTAGTATAAGGTAAGTTATGCTAGTATTGAACTACAGTGAAAGTTAAAATTCTTGCTGTTCTGTGGTCGTCTATTCTTATATTAAGCTGTTTAGCAAGTTTCCTGAAGCCTTCTCGACCAACTGGTGTTATATGATGTAGATTTATTTTTATACCTAATCGAACCTTTTCGGTAAGCTTCGGTGGCATATCAGGTGAGTTTGGTGGAGCCATGGTTCGTATTTTGGGAGATGTAGTTAAGACAAAATACTCATGGCGAAACCAAAAGAGTCTGATATACCACCGAATACCAAAAAAAAGTACGATTTGGTATTTACCCAGTATTTACTGTACCCCAATTTGGTAAAGTGACCAAGATATCGTAGCCATATCAGATCAGTGACTTGATAACGCAGGAAATCAGCACAGTACCGACACGGCTTCTGATTGGCTAAATGCGAATTTGGGTACGTTAAATAAGTGAAGAAAAGTTGTGAAAGTGTGAAATGTAAGGTTTAATCAATGTTTGATTTTTCTCATCCTTAGTCCCGAACAAGCCTTGAAGGACAGCCTTGCCCCGTTTGAGAATGCCTACCTGTCCAGGTCTTTGTCCAGACTGTTTGACCCCATTAACTTGGTGTTTCCCTCTGGAGCACGCAATCCTCCGTCCAAGGAAGAGCTGTCCAGTATCGCAAAGACGATTGGCAGGTTAGACTTAAGAGCCCTGTGTGCTGTTGCGTTACACATTCACTTTGGCTTGTCACGTAATCTTTGTGGAAGATAACGCAACAAATCGTTAGCTTGAGAGAAGTAGCGAAAGGAATGACATTATCTTTTTTGGCGGCTAGAATGTTTCTAGACCTCGAATGATTTTGTTGTAACCTATTTTTAACCCCAGCTCATGTTCAAATTAAAATTTTGGGGATCTGTGCGTCAATTTCAATCGCGAGTTTTCTGTAGCCTGCAGAACAGGCGGATTAGCGGGCCAGGGGCCCATTTCTCGAAAGCCCCGGAACCTTTTCGGGCCCGGAAAGCCATTTTTAGTTGATCTGGAACGAAAAACAGAGAGGTATATACGCCTGAAACTTCTTGAACGCAGGAAACTTCTGTTCGTAAAGAATATGTGAATACAACAGCTCTGAAATCATAAGGTTTGAGATGTTGCCACGGCTTTCTGGGTGCGAAACCTTTTCGGGAACCTTCGAGAAACGGACCCCAGAGCGCGAAACGCGATACACTGGCGCGGAGACCGACCACGAGCGCGAACTCCCTGTTCTGTAGGTTAGTTTCTCTGGCGCCTAACACCAGTAAGGCAACATGGAGAGATAAGAAAGCTAGGCTCTCCTGCTGAACAAACTGTGAGGAAAACGGCCAATTGAATGAAATCTCTCGTTTCTCTTCGTTGCCAGATTGTATCGCATTGTCAAGCACGGCATAACTGTTTTACAATTGAACTTCTCTTTACTGAAATTATTTCCTAATTTTACTTCTAATAACTATTTTTTTATCCTCATAAATCTTTGTCCTGTCGTTTGAACTATTTTACTAGTGAGCTGAGTGTTGCCAGTGTAGATGTGGGTCTGACCATAACTGTAGCAAGGAATGTCGCCAAGACGATACAGCTGTACACCGCAAAATGTGAACAACTGGTGAGAAAACCTTTTTCGGTTGTTATTAAGCTAACTTGAGTCCAGGAGACACAAAGAGAACGAGAGTTTTGAGAAGATTAGGTCAAGGGAGTGGGGCGAGATTAAGTTGCAGGCCGGGAGAGGGACTGGAGAGGAGTTTGCGACCACAACAAAGGGAAGGGGTGGGTTGAAACATCTTCTGAAACTCTTCAGTGTGACTTACGAATTGCGATAATTTGATGACATGTGGTTTGGCCTTTGGTAAGGTAAAGCAAATCCAATATTATGAATTAGCCTAGCTAATTGTGTAATGCCCTTAGCTACTCAAATTTTATGTTAAGAGTTTGGGATAATGTTAAGTCTTAAATCTTGGGTAAAAGGCGTCATTGTCGCATTTTGAAAGCGCGAAGCAGTTTACTCGACGGGGCATTTAAAGGAAATATAAATTTATCTTTCGACTACGAGACAAATTGAAGAGGGTGTTTATTTATAATACTTTTCTGTTATTTATTTTTATAAGACGATTATACATATTACAAATGTAGATTTACCATGCAAAAGCCTAACACAGTAAAGGACTCTGTTATCGCTCTCCTCTGTGTTTTGCTCTCTCACTGATTATCTCCTTTAAATCCTTAGTGTTTTCCTGTTTGGAATCATGTTCTCCCAACGTAGTTTCTAGTATTGTCTTCTTTTCCCACTCTGCCGTATCCAAATGTTCTTCAGTGTTGAAACACTCTGGGCACCCCAGTTCTTCGATGTTTGGGTTAATATTTGAATTACAGACCGACCCTATGGAGGGTGTATTATCTTGTTGCAGTCGGCAGTGTCTACTTAGTGTTGGTGTGAATGATGTGTCCTCTGCTGTTCTAGCAGTTGATGAGTAATCCTTAGCCAGTCTAAATCTTTCCCTTAGTGCCGTAAATGGCTTTGCTTTTAGCTCGGTTTGAGCTGGTGTTGCAAACCGAAAGATGCCTGAGGATTCAATCAAACAAGTTAGCCAACAATAACAGCACAGTGGTTAGGCTGCGGGGTTAGGGCGCCGGACTTGAAGTCCGGAGGTCGCAGGTTCACTACTAAACAGGAGTTGTTTCTCGGTAGACCCTAATTCAACTCCTCAGTCATACTTGTAAATAGCCAACTGGTCTTTGTCCCGCCAGTTGGGATTTTTAAGCCATTAGGTTCAGCGCCCCCTAAAAGTACTGCTCGATTTTCTTTTCATTCGAATGTCGAACGCAAACTAATGTTTTGTTCAAAGACTTAACTAACTAACTTTAACTATCTTTTGCTGGGTAGGAAACAGTTTCAAGTGCGAATTCAAATAATTTCTAATCCATAAATTTTCACAAACTGTTGTGAAGGAAATAGCAGTATTGCACACCACCCCCTCCCCCCCGGCAACTTAGATGAGTTGCTCGTCCATCTCAGTTTACTGTATCCCTAGCGTCCTGGCAGGTTGTCCCAACAGTTCACCAGCACCCATTTTCACACCCGAGAACACAACGTAATGACTCCGGACCGCGGACTTGAACTCGGACCGCTCGATCTGGCGCTAACACATTAACCATTAGCGAAGACCCTGAACCTTCTCAGTGTATTACACCAGTGTAGAATACTCTTTACTTAAGAAATAGAAAACACTTACAGCGTTTCTATCGAGTTATAGAAACACGAGTGGAAGATTGGGAGAACGAGAAATTCTAGTTCTCCCAAACTTTCACGGGTGTTTCTATATATAACTCGATAGAAACACGAATAAGATGTTTTCTATTTCTTTTAAAAAACACCGCGACGAAAAAAAAGAAAAACAGCCAGTTTACTTTGATCATCAAAGTGTAAATTCTCTTTGCCCGCGCCATCATAACGTCAACAGCAGGTGCTTGTTCTGTGTTTCTATCGAGTTATAGAAACACGATTTTTAACCAATCAGCGCGCGTATTTTCTTAGGACTGTTTTCTAAATCTGTTTGATTTTCGCATACCGTTTACAGTTACGTCCCATGGTATCTTAAGCTACTTCTTCCCAAAACAAATTCACCTTACATTATCTCTTACGATATCAACACGTTTTGCAAGCAGACATGTTATGATGTCCTGATCTACTACCAAATTCTTAGAACTGATGTTAAAATAAATGTAAGAAAAAGTAATGAGAATTAATCGTTCAATCCCTTCACCAGAGGAGTAAAGATTTCCCCTTAAACTGACCTGAGAATGAGGAGAAAGGCAGGCAAGAGTCAGATGTAAGTAGGTCGCCTACACCTCCTGTCTGAAGAAAGAGAGAGTTTAGACAGAAAGGGTTATTATTATAGTGTTACAGTACTTAAGACAGTAGGGTGCTGAAAGGAGCGCTCATAGTTGGCGCATGTAGAGACTCCGGTTAATTTTTTTCAAACTAGGTTTTGGTATTCTGTCTCAATATTCCCTGTATTTGGCAACCTTTGTTCTCTCTTGGTTTGCAGTTATGTCTTTGATGTTTTTCTATTTGCAATGACTGGTATTTTGAAGTTCTGTTGTTGCTGCATTCACTGTTCTATAGTGTTAGCGACTTTTTTGGCAGAGTGTCGCCAAATTGACGATCTTGCTTGTTCCATTCTTGAGATAGATAGGCCTTACAATGTCCTGTTTGCACGGGGATCAGAGCTCTTTCTAGTTCTTTGCCTTTTTTGTTGCCTTTTCAAGATGACAAGGCCATTTCTGAGTTGAGTTGCCCTTACGGCCTCTGTGGTGAAACGAGTCCTCGTTCGAAATGATTCATTTGAAAATGTGTTTCACCTGAACGTTCATTTCATACATATCAAATTCACTGATGATTTTCTTATGAAAAGTTCCGTTTTGAAACAGCTAAAAGGCAACTCGGAACTGGGCTATGGTGAAAACTTGGCTGAAAAAGTTCATCACCTTAAAATGTTGCAACTTATTTAAAATGGAAACTCGCTCCGTTAAGATTTCGTTGTACCCAAAAAGGTGGACAAGGACGAGAGAGAAATCACGCCAGCCTCGCGAGCTACTCTTTCTTTTAAAATGTTACATACGTTATGTAACATAACTTGATATGTATAGCGCCAAAATACGGTAGCAATTTTCTGTTATTAATATCTTAACTGGCTAGCTTTAGCTAAACAGCAACTGCAATAGGTATAAAATATGTGTATGGCAGTGTTTAAATATTCTAAAGCATTTTAGATCTTACCTCGTTTAAACGGCTTAAGGCCTTGAATTTGTTTCGCCGCAAACAAAACGGAGGTAAAAATGCTGGATAGCAGCGAGAGGCCTAAACCCAAGTACATAAGACGCACGATCCACATGCCTCGTTCGTAAGACGAGTCTGGCTCCTTGCCTTGATTCGGCACCAGATCCCCGAATCCAATCGTGCTCAGGGCAACGAAGCAATAATAGACGCTATCGAGGAAAGTCCAGCCAAATTCTTTCTCAGAGTAGAAATACATAACTCCTCCAAGCGGAAGCCATAGTGCGATTAACATAACGTTTATGGCGAAACATTTGATGTGCTCGTGCGATGGTAGATCGCGTTGGAACGCTGCTTTCTCGAAGTATTTAATCAGGAGATGAATGCCATAGTTGATGTGTTCACCGACTGATTGCAGAGTCAGTAAATTCAGTGGAATACCGAACAGAGCGAAAAATATTAGAAACAAGCGGCCACCTTGAGTCTTTGGTGCCAGGTGCCCATATCCTGGAAACAAAATGACAGTAAAACAGGAATTCATTTGCTGTACAAGGTGGTTGTAACTTTTAAGTCTTTTGAAGAAACCCCAGTGTGTGACCATTCGGATGAAAGCTATCGAGTAGTACTTTCATGTGATACTGCAGTTGTTTGTTATGTTGAACAGGTTGGTTCTATCTTTAAGTCTGTGGATAAAACCCTAGTGTGTGACCATTCAAATGAAAGCTATCGAGCTGTACTTCCATTCGGTACTGCTTATTATGCTATTCAGGGTGGTGTTAAGTTTTAAGTCTGTTGATAAAACCCTAGTGTGTGACCATTGAAACGGAAGCTATCAATGTGTTCTTTGATTTGGTGCGCTTTGTTTCGTAAAATTCTTAATAATTTTTTAATATATATTTTTTCTCATTCCTTACCAATTGTAGTCGTAACACTTCCAACAAAGTACAGTGACTGGTAGTAACTCCAGTCGTTATGGCTGTATTTGCATGTGGGAGCCGCTTCAAACATTTGACGCAGCTTCTCGACGTAGTGATCGATAACATCCCTAGTCTCATTAAATCTCCTGGTCATATTCTCTTTCAAGTCGTTTATTTTATCTGCAAAGTGGTCGTCGCTTGATCTGCCATGCTCTATCGCCGAAAATATGGCGGCACCAGATGTGAGGTAGACGGTCAACATGACAATTCGGACCACAAGGGTTCTAGTGTTTCTTTTCAGTTCCATTTCGCTGCTTTGTTGTCGATTATGTCTTGTCTTTTCTCGGTGCAGAGGATTTTAAATGTAGATTCAGTTGCTGAAGCCTCCAGGACTCAGTTTTCCTGTGGAAATATTAGAATGATCTGTAGATATATCTTATTTACCGAGCGTGGGGTCAATACTGGGAGTTTATCGGCCCTAGGTAGTCTTTTGAGAGTCTTGTCATACTGATGACTGAAAAACGTTAAGTAAAAATCACACTATCACGAACTGGAAAGACGCTAAAAAATTCAAGCATACAGTTCTGTTTAAGAACTGACTTGCCGTTTACACACGTCCGACATTTTCAACAACAATGAAAAAAGGAAAAGAAAGTTGAAAGAAAAAGAAGAAATGTGTACGTCAATTCTTCTAGAAATTAAGCTGTAAAACTACTAGAAAACCTTGAAGAGCGGTCTCTCGGGATCATTCGGGACAGTGCCCGCGGGACGGCAGTGCCCGGTCCAATACTTGGAGAATATTGCACTGGCAACAGAGAAATCGTATTGATTTATTGATTGTAGTTATTGGGCCTCTAAACTAAATTAGTCGTGTCAGGCCCCGTCCACACTATGCCGGAGGAATTTGAAAACGGAGGTCAAGTTTATTCTGAAAACACATCAAAAGTTTTCCGTCCACACTACTTCGGAGGAATTTGAAAACGGAGGTCAAGTTTATTCTGAAAACACATCAAAAGTTTTCCGTCCACACTACGCCGGAGGAATTTGAAAACGGAGGTCAAGTTTATTCTGAAAACGCATCAAAAGTTTTCCGTCCACACTACTTCGGAGGAATTTGAAAACGGAGGTCAAGTTTATTCTGAAAACGCATCAAAAGTTTTCCGTCCACACTACGCCGGAGGAATTTGAAAACGGAGGTCAAGTTTATTCTGAAAACGCATCAAAAGTTTTCCGTCNAACGCTGTTACTGCTTGATCTGAAAATTCATCTCTCTAACCTGCTGGCCTTGTTGGTCTTTGGAAACTTCGTGTTCCGCTCTTTGCACGTCTAAAGCTAACGTGGGAGTCGCACTTAAAGCTTTGTGGTTTTGCTGTGAAATGTTTCTGTCAGCTTGTCTGTTGTTTTGAAATGCGACGTTCTAATTACATGTAATTGTTACCTTTAATTTACGTGCTATTTCCATAAAACTAGCCGCTAACAAAGAAACTGTAAATTTCTTTTAATTAAAGGTGAACACATGGACACACAAACAAACAAATTATTCCTAATGTCCCTAGACGCTCTGAGAATTTTTCCTGACATTTTTGTTTCAGCTCGTTACTAGTCCAGAAGCGAATCAGTTGTACGAACACGTGACTTCAGCTCAGCAGAAGAACGCTTCGATCGTGAATAGCCTGTTTCAATTATATCAGGCTGTTACCAAGGTAACTATCAACATGAAATTCAGAGAGAGAAAAAAAGAAATTCCTTTACAGTGTTTCAATAATCTTTTAATCAACTGATCAATTCGATTTCTATGAAATGGAGGAGCTTGCTGTTAAATTGGAGTAGCACTACTCCATTCCTCCGACATTTTCTGTCAGGTCGCGTCAACAATACGCTAGTAGCCATTTATACACCTGTGTGTGTGGAGGAGAGAGGCACTGTGAGAGTAAAGTGTCTTGCCCAAGAACACAACACAATGATATGATTGAGTACGACACAGGAAGAAGCTTCAATAAAACGGGCAATCTTTGAATTCACACTTCTCTTTCTAGCTTGAATTTCATCTACAATGTGTTTCTTTTTTTGCTCCAGATAGCTGATGGTCTTAGGTCTCCCCCTACCGTTGCTGTGAACGCAATCTCAACTGGATTACAGGTAGATAGGATCTTGTATTTTAAGTCTGACTTGGTCACTTTGCATACAGACTACAATTACGGCGTCAAGGGTACAGGAAATTGGTTAAGACCAAAGCTGCTTAACTTCTGTTACTTGTCTTAAAGTGAGTAGGAGTAGAGCTACCCCCCTATCCCTGGATGGGATGCTAGTCCATCACAGAATTCCACCTCCCCCTCCTCTAACGCTTAGTGAAAAAAATCGCTGGTACGTATCTATAACTACATCTTAGTGGAGAAGTGTTGTAAGATTCAAGTGTATTGAGGGCACTGCCCGGGGGGGGGGGGGGGTTTTNTCTTGAGGGATGACTAAGACCCAGGAGGGGGGTACTCCCAGAAAAATTGGGTGAAGGTGTGCGGCCCACTTCCCACAACCCAGACCCTATTTAAGACCAAAATCTGTGACTTTCCCTACCCTTTTATGACCTGACCAAAAATTTGATATTCCATTTATGACCGTTGCGACTGACACAGTTTCCCTAAACATAATTTATGAAGGACTTTTGTTGATGATCTTATCGATAATGGTGAAAAAGTAGCTTCTTCTAAAAAACGAACCCAGTTCAAGACAAGAGTGCAAAAACCATACCTTATTTATGACAGAAATGGCCAAAATCGACACCCTATTTATGATCAAAACGGCTGAAAAACCATATACTTTGGGGCCGCACATACCTATATCGCCCATATAAGGGAGCCCCTCCTCGGGGGAGGCGCTGACTACAATAATCATGTGATTTGTGGGAACATTTAGTCGTTAGCTATCGACACATATCACACGCTCCGCGTAATAAGTTATAAATCTTTGGAATTCGCTTAAAAATTCATGCATGACTACAATATGCGACAACAGTAGTTGACAGAAGCACATTTAGAGAACGACACTACACTATTGCTATTGTCAGCCTCCTTTCTAATTACAGCGTACCCCGGCTGCCATTATGAGTGATATAGATCCGGTATTGAACTGTTTCAATAGCAAGGAAGAAAAACTAACAGCTGTTTGATTACAAGCAGTGTGTAAACAGATATCTTTTATTGGTTATGTGAGACGTTTCTGTCCTAAGTGTGTGTGGTAGAAGACCAATTGGCGTAGAGCTCGCTATCAAGTAATTTATCGTATTTTTTATGGCTGTTTGATATCGTTTCTTATCGTTTCGCGACGGAAGCCTTTAATACACGGGCCCATTAGTCTCTTGAACTTCCGAATATTTTATTACCACCAGAACTTTTGAAAGCTTTACATCCAGATGGAATTTCGCAATTTCTTTTTTCAAGGATCAGATTTCAAACAGTAGGATAAACGCAGCAAATGTTTTCCGTCCACACTTTGCAGGAGAAATTTGAAAACGGTGTTTTTACTCTGAAAACGCATCAAATGTTTTCCGTCTACTCTTAGCCGGAGAAATTTAAACGCGCAACAATCACCGGTCATTTCGAATTCGTGTTTGAGAAAACTCTGTCAAGGAAATCACGTAATCGTGGCATTATCGTTTCCGAAGAGCTCCAAAATGCTTCAAAATGTTCTCCGTCCACACTAAACGCAAAGTGTGCGTTTTCAAATTCCTCCGGTTTGGAGAGCGTTTTCGAAAAGCTCCGTTTTCGTGACGGATTAGTGTGGACGGTTAGCTGGACCAAAGAAATAAAGCTGCGTTTTCAAATTTCTCCGGCGGAGGGTGTAAGGGGCTTTAGACACCGTAAGGTTTTGACTGTAAAGTTCAAAATGGTTATTACATGTACTGTGGAGTACTGTAACAATTGACATGTATTCATTGTTTAATTTGTGTGATCTAGTTCGTATGTTAAACCAACTTGGTTAACAGGGCTCTCAATCAAAGAGCAGAGTTTTACAGGAATTCATATTGCTTTTCTGTAAACCGAATTTTTCTTTCGTCCGGCTTTTGTTTTGGAAAGCCAGGATATTGTTGTGAATTCGTTGTATTGTGTTTTGATAGCCAGTTACGTGGATCTTTTCGAGTTCTTGTGGGCGTTATGTATTGCTTTTTTTTCTCTTGTGGCTGTGTGGGCCGTTAATGCCTTTAACCATTTCCACGTACATTTGTTTTTCATGCGTAAGGATTCCTATTTATTTGACGTTGCATCACGACATTACCTATGAGTCGATGAATCTCGTTTTTCTCATCACTTGCCTGCGTAACACTGTATGGATATTATAAGGAGAAGATAGATTTTGAGATGGCAATGGCTCTTTCTCAGGGGTATGTGCCTAGGAAACCGTCTTTTATACGCAAGAATGCGTGGGCTGACTTCAATGCAACCAACGCATGCGCATTGCACGTTGGCGGACCGGATTGTGTTTGACAGTGGCTTCACATCGTTAACAATAGCCCAGATCTTGACAATTGTGAGGACAGTCGCCTTTTCGTCTAGGCTTAAGTTCTCGCGTGTTGCGACAATTTCTCGCCTGACCTTTGTTGTCCTTTTGCACTCGCGAACTAACGTCTAATGCCATTTTCGTTTTGTTTCTATTTCCATCTTCATTTGCGTAAAAGTCAAGCCTACTTTCTCGCTTATCTCATATGTAACTTTCTTGTTTTGCAGACTTTAGGCTTTGTCGTTCATTCTAGCGCGTTTATTAATGTTTATTTTTTTAATTTTCCTGCTGGTTTCTCGTGATGAGAACGATGTTTTTCCCCACTGGTCGTGAAAAGCTCCTTTTAAAAGTGCTTCTGTTATTTAATGGTTCGAGAGCAAACTGTAAACATTGCCTTTTGTATTTGGTTCGCAGCTGTACATATGCAATACGTCCGTTTTGTTCTACTCTTAACACAAATTGAGAGCAAACCTACAGGTTAATTAAATTGAACATGACATGTAGCAAATGTCATTTTGAATATTGCGTTTTTCGGAAGGGGCCAATAATGTACAGTGATGTTCGCGTGCCCGCCAATATATCATTATATGAACACATCCGGTTTTCATTCGATCTCGAAGCCATCTCAGACATTTTGCAACCTGTATTTTCACTCCTAACCATTAAATGCTCATAATGGCAGATGTGTTTTGTTCACGCAAACTTTTGTTTAAATCGGATTAAGAGAACGGGACTTCAAAAACATCGTTTATAAATACACGCTAGGTTTTTGTGCGATATTGTTTATGTGTATCTACAAAGGCAAATTGGCATGAGATGTATTTGTATCAAAGCAGCAACATGTCTGTTTTTCTCGCCATAGAATTAAACTTTAAACATGGCTTATACTCTGGTATGAATTTTTAATTTATTTTTGCTCAATAGCGCCTTTTCGACAGTTTTGTTTTATGCTTTTGCACCCGTAAATCTCTTGCAGCTGAGAAGGAAACTCTGAATTTCCGTCTGGACGCGTTCACGCCAGAGTTTGTATTGCCCGCAATCGAGTTTCAATAAGCAAGAGGCGTTTTAAAAAGACCATGTAATCGCCATTTCAAAGGGCTATATATATTTTTTCGATTTTCAAGTGAAAAGATTCTAGTTTTTCGTATCTAACTGACCTGTTAGAAAACGTTATTCATTGTACAGTAACGAAATGAATCTATTTGTGTATTGGTCGTGAGCAAGATGTATTCACTGCTGCCAATTTGATAGCCACTTTTAATTGAATGTAGATACGGCGCTGAAAAAGCGGTGAAGCGATGGCTTTCTCTAGTGTTTGTTAAATTTTATAAGAAAAATCATCGTGTCTGTTCTCTTTTTATACTATAGTGCTTTGAATAATGAACTTAACGTCCTTAGCGTTTTCATCGTATCTGGTAATAGTTTGATCTGGTCGTAACTTTACCTGCTTCGTTTAAGGCAATTCATTCACCTAAACTGATAGGGAACCTTGGTTATAACTTCAACTTCTAGCAAGAAATTCCCAGCCCGTGTTGTTTATATTCCCACAACAGATGCACAGTCGGGTTCGGATCGGCAAGTTAATCTAGTTTCTCACCTTTCGTACGTGAAGGATCAATGCGTGAACAATGTCAGGCGTCCTTAGAAGCGCCGAGCGTAATGGAAGTTCGTTTCCCCAACTGTGGCCATCATTTTTGTTTCATGACATTTTGTCTTTTCAAGTCTTGCCGTACTGGATTTCTCTTATATCCTGTTGCGCGAGATAAAAACACTTGAATTCACGCAAGAATCGCACCCACGAGTTTCCTTCGGTTTTTCTTGGTAAGATAGAAGACTTGCGAAACTTTTTTGTGGGAATTTATGCAGACGATGTGTTCCTTTAGGCGATTTCCTTACACTGTTTATATTTTCCTCCAGTTCGGCGTCTCGATTAAATAATTCTTATTTTCTCTCAGTACCTAATGTTATCTGCTTTATTTACGACAACTCAGAGATGTCAGGAAAATTCAACGTATTTTGAATTGCAAATCATCTGCCTTCGTCAAACAATAGATCTTTATTCGGTTGGGATGTTTTCATGGGGAAAAAATTATGTTGTCGACGAAATGACTGCTTTGAAATGAGTCTCATTCATTGGCCAAATTCAAACAAATTCCCAATTAGCATTTGTCGTCAGATTGTAAAGTACCTTTGTGTTTAAACTACCGCTCGGCAAAAACTCGTTGCTAGCTCGCGGTAGTTGAGAGAAATATTCCTCCCACATTTGACCATATTGCCGATGTTTTAATGACTAAAAACGTCTTTAATAGGCGTGAAAAAAATATATATATCTCGACAGATTAATGACCACTGTTTTGGTCGGTCGATTCGTCATTTTAACTTCTATTTAGTTAGGACATTGCTGTCATCACACTCTTTGAAATCCATTAGCTTTCACCGCGAAGTAGCGTCGTTTGGATGTAGAATTTATCGCCTTTAATTATTTTAATTATGTTGTGATTGAAACTTTTTCCGCGGAGAAACTGCTTTGTGTTAGCAAGGTTTTCATTTTGTCAACTGAAATAAATGTAGCGATATCAATTTTGTTCGTTTTTCTTCACTTTTTGGATGCGTACTGCTTTTCGAAAAAATAACTGACTCTCATGTCATTCAATTTTTCTGTACTCACGTTTAAAGTTAAGAAACACAGTCTTTATTTTCCCTAACGCTAAGCGAGAATTTGAAAAACATTTGATGGCCGTTTTATAAGCAAGGGATTTATGACTTCTTGAGAAGCAATTTTCAGCCGGTATTGAAACTGATATGTTGAATTAACCGCCCTTTTAAACATTTGACGTTTGGATGCTCGAAAACAGCGACGAAAACACCAGCTGTTTACTGAAAAATGGCGGTTAATCAAGTCTAATTTGGTGATAAATTAAGTGGTTTGCCTGCCGCCGACGCGGCAGAGTAACCTCACGAGGCATTAGCACCGCGTGCCTCTGCAATTGTTCGGGTTTGACGTATGTTTTTGTGGGTCATATTTCGATTACAGGCTAGATTACCAGCCGTTGTTCGGGAGAAGAGCCCGCAGGAAGGAGCCCGCGGGACCTTGGTGAGCGGCGGAACTCGAGTCCATCCCTAATAATGACTTCTCTTCTTGTGTCGGTGCTTATGGCCTGGAAACTTATAATGCTAATATCTTTGATTGATAAAGTTCGTTAGTGACTCAATATTCATTCTCTAATGAAATAAAATCGATCCGTATTTAATACGAAAGGCAACTCATTTATTTTTAAAATCGTTCCTTTTGATAAGTCATCAAGTATGTTTGCGAGCGTCTCATGCGATATCTTCTCTTTAAAAGATTGGAATGAATTTTGCGCTTGTTTGCTAAAAGCTCTCAACACAGACATTATTTTCACGGTTTCTGGATCTTGAAACGTTTAGGGTAAATCTTTCAAGTTCGTCGTTTATTAGTAAACTACTATTTTCAGGTTTTCTTCAGTTTAAAGGTGATTTTGTATATGGCCAATATAACTCTAAATACCGCGTCGTCGCTTAGTCTTAAGCTCAGTTAAGACTAAGTAGCCTGCGAGCAGGCTCACCTTTGAGTCACGCACGCGAGCGGCGAAGAGCAAAGCGATCCGGCGGAAAGGAGTCTGGTAAAGATGCGCCAAGAAAGTGTCTCGCGGTTTCGCCGCTCGATTTCACGCTCACGGCTACGCCGCGCGCGCTTTTGCTCCAATTTGAGCCTGCTCGCTGGCTAAAAACCAAGCGACGATTCATTCTTAGCCAAGCTGAACTGATAGCTTGTCTGTTTGCAAATTTCGCTGTCAATATGTTGTCGGTGACGGGATACGATATATGTTCCGTTGTCTAACGAGAAACCATAGCTTTCTAGAATTCAACCACATGTAAATTTCTTTTAGAACTGGCTGTGTTGCTGCTGTGTTTGCTAAATGCAAACGCAACAGCAAAGCAACTTAGCAATAGCTCAGTTGCTTCGCTGTTGCGTTTGCATTTAAGCTTACGGCGTAATATAAGTGTTTCATAAAAGGCTTCGGTTAAACGATCAAACATCTTCAACCTTACACGAGCTGTGTGAGTTATACAACTAAACAAAGTAGAACGAATTATCGTTTGTAATTTGGTGGCGAGGAGGCTTCGCTTGGTGGCGAGTGCGTGGGTGGCGAGACTTCCTGGTGGCGAGGTGACCGGTAATCGAAGGTCCAGATGTTGAAATTTTCAAAGCACTGCATACAATGTTGACCAGGGCTTTTTTGCCGATTGGCTTTTCGAAATCAATGGATAAGATGTTGCATATTTGCTTTAGTTTTGGTTTAGTCAAATTTGAAACTTCCTTGAAAGTTTTTGGGAGTTTTAAACTCGCCTCGTCCTTGACAGTTCGCGACGCCGTTTTGTTTACATCGGCAACCCCCGAAGCAGTATAGGATTATGGTTATGCGCAAGTAGAGAATTTGTATAAACGCTGTTGTTATCGCCTTGATAACTTCCTACAAGACCTCGCTTCTATACCGTTCCGAACAGTCCTCGGCTGTCTTCGTTGCATTGCCGAACATGCCCGAATCTTTCACTGACTATGTTTTGCCCATTACCCACACACCCCACCCTGGTGACACACACTCATTCCACCCCCATTTCAAACGTCGCACCTCGACTGCAACTTTGATGGGTTCGAGATTTTTCTGGGCGTTAAATTCTTGTGTTAATTTACCAGACCTTACCATTGTCTATACATAGACTCTCTATTTTCTAATAAGATCGTTGACAGAGCGAGAAAAAGAAACAAAAAAATCAGGTTGTATAAACTCTTGGTCTTCGGCCGTCGTAGCTTGATTAAAAACATAAAGCAAACGGCGGTGATATACATTTTAAAAACATGCAAAACATTTTAACGGTTATACTTTTGAAAATGTATGTTGACTAGTATACGAAACGTCAAGTTCATAAAACGCAGGTCTTTTAAAATGTTTATCACCGCTGGTTGTTTTATATTTTAAATCAGGTTGTGTTTTTGAACGAGCGTGGGCGTAAGGGTTTGGGAGTGGGCCAGGTGGTAGGTAAAGAGAGAAGAGGCATTTCTGTTTTGCTTGCTTATATCTGAGGCAGCGTCAACACTACTCCGGAATTTGAAAACGCAGCTTACGGTTAAGCCTACCGTCCATACTAATCCGTCACAGGAACGGAGCTTTCCAAAAACGTTCTTCAAACCGGAGGAATTTGAAAACGCCGGCTTTGCGTTTTCGTGGGGACGGAAAACGTTTTGAAAACGAAGCTTTTTGAAAACGTCGTAGGCACGATGATCATGTGATTTCCCTGATCGAGTTTTCCTCAAACGCAAATCCAATATGACCGGTGATTTTTGCGCTTTTAAATTCCTCCGACGTAGTGTGGGCGGAAAACATTTGACGCGTTTTCAGAGTGAAACCTCCGTTTTCAAATTCCTCTGACGTAATGTAGACTACGAGTAGTCCCTCTTTTGCTTAGCCCGTCGTGCGTCACGAGAAAGAAAACCACGAGAAAAAAATGAGCGCGCGAGATCCTGGGGGCGGGAAGCACGCGTCTCGCCCCCCCACCGGAGTTCACGCGGCCATTTTTTCCTCGCGGTTTATTTACGGTCTCGCTCGACGGACTAAACGAAAGAGGGACTACTTGTAGTCTAGACGTAATGTGGACGGAGCCCAAGAAACAACTGTGGAAAGACTAGACATACTATGAGAGAAACGCATAGTTATTATTCTTAGAAGTATACTTACATAGAAGCGTAATTCTGTTTAAGGGAATTCTAGCACTCATTAATTCTGCTTTGGATCCACTACTCGAAGCGATCTCGCTGGATTTGGAGAACCATATATTCAAGATGCATTCAGAGGACTTCACAAGGTGATGATTTCATCTGAGACCACAGTTGATAAGGTCTCACTAGGTTGTGCGCGTAGTAGAAAATTTGCGTGGGAAAATAACCTCTTAAAAAATGTGAGAAAATCAGCAACAACATAACGAACAAAAAAAACAATCAACCAACCAGCCAACGAACACACACACAAACAAACAAACAAACAGAAAACAATTGTTTGTAGGTTGGTGCAAGCAGAAAGCAAACAAATAAACAAACAAACAAACAAACAAATCAGGAAACAAAGAAAACTTAAAAGGACCTATGACCATCATTTTCACTCTCTTTTTTTGTGTCAGTCCATTGCGGGATTAAGGGTTACCTCGCCGGTACCCATTATACACAGATAAAGATGATGGTAATGACGAGGACGAGGGCGAGGACGAGGACGAGGACGAGGACGAGGACGAGGACGAGGACGAGGACGATAACAATTACGATGACGATTATTATTTGTCAAATTCTTTTGGTGTGCAAAAGAGCAAATCAAATTTGTCACGTGGAAGTGTACCAAGAAAACTTGTTGGATGTAAATTAGGATTTTTGGTTTGGTGAATTTTGTATTTTCCTTCGTAATAATTGTTTTTCCACCATCAAAATTGTCGTTTCAGTTCGACCCTGTCACGTGATATAGCTGATAACCCGGATGCTCCTTGTTCTGGCTACATACAAGAGATGCAGGTAATCTGGATGCATTTTCTAGAGAGTCTTCGCTTGCCCACATGTAATTTTACTCGTGTTAAGTGGAGGATGTTCTAACATTTTTACCTCAAGCATTTAAGTTTTTGTTTATTAAGATACTATTCCTCCCTTGATTGTATCCATAGTTTGCTTTAATGTACTTGTACAGTCGAACCTCTACTGACGGCCACCTCTCTGTAACGGGCACTTTTTTTTGTCCGTTCACTGTTATTTTAACCTCTCTACAACGACCACCTCTCCACAACGGCAACGGTCAATAAAACTCGCTCCAACTACTGACCAGGATTAATCAACGACTGATGAACAGTGTCTACAAAACCCCATTTCATTTTGCAAAAGGTGACGAAACCTGATCCGCGCGTCGTTTGTCTCTCTTTCTGTTCGGGTTTCTGTTTCAATGATATATTTTGATTGTGTAACGTATTTACATGCTACAATAAGCATTTTTTAAAGACGAAAATGTTGCACCCCCGAGAAGAGATAAGTGTCATATTTCACCTCTACCTCCCCATAACAGCCACCTCTCCACAACGGAGATCAATTTCCTCCGTCCCCAAGGTGACCGTTGTGAAGGGGTTAGACTCTATTTCGTTTCTCATTTGCACACTTTCTTATTACTTCCCTTTTGCTTCCTCTGTTTTTTTTTTAGGATTTTATTATTCATGTTCAAAAGAACTACGTTGCACTTTATGAATGCAGAGAGATTCTTCACCAGAGGTAGGAACAAATAAATGCATTTTTACCCTCTTAAGAATTGTTAGCTCTTTGATGTGCTTGCTAAACGTGTTTAATTTTCTGTTTGTCTTTTGTTTTGAAGATTGCAATTTTGCGCCAGGCGTAAGTGTTGTGTTTTGGCGAGTGTTGTGTTGTTGTTTTTGTTTGTTTGTTTGTTTGTTTGGGGGAGGGGCAATGGGTGGTCTATGAGTTGATAGTTCATGAAGCTGAAGGCCGAATCAACTTTCACCTTCACCTCACCTTCACCTAACTTCTTCGCGCCCAGTGGCGCATAAGGCCTCAACACTCTGCGCCAACCATTTCTGTCGGCCACTGCAGTGGACACCTCGCTCCAGCTCCTCCATCCAGCTCTTTCTCTCTCGTTTTTTGCTGTTCTTTGACCTCATAGAAATCAAGAGCAAATAATTTAATTGTTGAAGTAGAATTCTATTTACTAAATCCCATTCCCTTAACGATTTCCAATGATTTCTCAGTAGGTAGGATAAAACTTCATGCTGTAGCAAAATTTACGCGCCGATTGACATGGTCGTTTGAAACTAGCAGCTGTTTCTTTACGTTCACCAGCTTATTGAACAATTTTTAGGTTTTGAAAGTCATATAACGGCAATTTTCCTCTATTTAGCCTTCTTGGAAGTTGAATTACTCAGAAATATTTCCAAATCTTCCTCCAAAACAAGGGAGATACGAGCCACTGCACACTAATCAACTATTAGATTACTCAATTCTCATCGTGTCCTTGGGCAAATAAGGCCATACAATTCGATTATGACCTCGAGATTTCTATCGCGTGTTAGTTGACGAGGGCGCAGCCCTCGTCAACTCGAGTGCTAATTGTTTTGTTAATTAATCCACTAGTCGTTCAAAACTCTATCTAAATCCTCTACACTGACACGAAAACGCAAAGAAGCGGATGCCAGTTTGTTTAAACAAGCGGACACTGCAACGCTTCTCACAGAATAGATAGTGAGTAACGTAGCCAATCAGAGAACGGCACTCCTGATGGAACGCTAGTGGATTTATACTGACAGTGTACTATGGTTAAACCAATCAGATTGCAGTTTTTTGCGTTAACTAGTACACGAATAGAATTCTGCTAATTGTGAATAGTCAGGCACTAGGTTATTACTGTGGTGGTTATACTCAATACTTGAATATGTTGTTTTCTTTATAGTAGCTATCTTTTTGAAGTTAATAGCGTTAAGTTATCAACCGTAGTTGATAAAGGTAAAACTTAAATTTGACCAACAGTTTCTTTAGAAACTAATACCTTGGTTCATGGATTGTTTTCTGTTACCCTAGGTTGGAAGTTGTCGTTTGTCGAACCATTGAGTTGTTTGTTCGTCACGCCAGTTTACTGAGAGCCATTGGAGAAGGAGGCAAACTGAAGCTGGCAGCTGATATGGCTCAAGTAAGTGACGAGGCATGACTGCACCCTCCTACCGGACCTTCTTACTGCAGATTTTATCAGTTAGGATTTTTTTCCGGGTATCTTAGGCTAATGTCTCAGAGTCAAGTGATAGAGATTTACCAGGCTGTGGACTCATGTGACGTCGCATTGCCCTGCAAGCGTTGTTCAGGCCTAGATCACGTTTTTGTTACTCAGAACACTTGGCGGGAAACATCTTCGATCCCAGGTTCACTCTCCTTTTCCTCCCTTGTCGCTGAGGAGAGAGACCCAGAGTCTCCCTCCTCAACGACAAGGGAGGAAAAGGAGAAGGAGCGTGGAGTTTTGGGGGGAAAGTCTCATTTTGGTCTGCTTTCGATTCTGCCTAGACATTCACGTTCTCATTGACTATTTTTTCTCGGTGAACTGAGTGCAGTGGTTTGATTGACCCGGCATATTCCAGACAAAACAACATCGACAAATCAAACAAGCAAACAAACAAACAGTCACGGTAATCGGACCTTAGTATTGCTTTCTTGTCGATAGAAATCTCTTTAAAGATAACTTAACGTATCGACATTGCTTCACTTATCCTTTGCTTTTATTTAGATTGAATTTGCTGTGGGTCCGCTGTGTCATAAAGTGTCTGAATTAGGGAAGTCGTACAAGCTCTTGAGATCTTTTAGGTGAGTTTTTAAAACACAGTATCTGATGCGTTATCAGATGTAGTTATCTTTGATTTGTACGGCCTTTCATCATCCTCCCCCCTTTTTTTAGTAGGAAACGGAAAGCGAGCTGTTGGCCTAATGAACAAACCAGCCAACCAAGAATCAAACGGACAGCAACGAAGGAACAAACGAATAGTGAACACTTTAAAGATCAATCAGACTCAGTTTTCCTATCTTCAAAACACACTTTAGCAGCAAAGCCTACTGAAACATTTGCCGTTACGTTCTTGTCCTTGTTTTGAGGTACCAACTAATGTCTTTGACAATCTACTTTTTCTTCCAAAGACCTCTGCTGTTTCAAACCTCAGAAGATATTGTCGGTAATCCTGCTCTGGGAGAAAGTCTTCCTCACAGCGTGGTGCTTCATCATCTGTTTTCTAGAGCTCCTAACGAACTCAAGTCCCCTCATGAGGTATGCAGCTCTGTTTGTCAGCGACAATTGTGCGTTAAAAATTGGTTTACGGTTTCTTTTTGGATTTAACTTCTCTTTATTACACAGATATGTTTGCAAATATTCATATTCTTTTTCACCAACCTGCGATCAGACATTCTTTTTTTCTTGGTGAACGGAGGAATTAAAAAAAAATTGTTAAAAAAGAACTCCTAATCGCAGACTTTTTCTCTGTCATGTGAGCCTCGACGCGGCGAAAAAAAAACCCGCCTTTTTAGTAGCAGAAAGGGGAAGAAAACCTCTATGACCAGTTGAGGGTATGAGATCGTTTCGGCGAGTACAAAACTGATTTCAATCAATAGTCAGCAAATTTTGTAACGTATATTTAAACAAGTAGTCAACAACGTTTACATTTGTTTCCTCCTCCCTTCAGGTGGCTGGTTGGTCGTTAGGTTTCTATTCTCAGTGGCTGGATGAGCACACATCGGAGGAAGAAAAACTTGCACTTATTAGGCATGTATGACGTGTGTGACTCGAACATCACTGATCTTTTTTCTTTCGTCTAGGCCGTTTTAACTACCACCTCAAAGTTCAGAGCCACCAATGCAAAAAATAGCCAGATAGTGTGAATTAGTCAGAGAACCAGTCTGTGCAGCACACACTCAGTTAATCTGTCTATCTGACGCTCAGTCTATCTGTCAGTCCACCTTGCGCCCGTCCATCTGCCCGTCCGTCTGTCCGTGTGTGCGTGCGTCCGTCAGTCAGGCAGTATGTCCGTCGGTCCGTCCGTCCGTCAGTCTGTCAGTCTGTCTGTTACTCAAACAGTCAGTCAGTCAGTCCGCCAGTCAGTCAGTCAGTCAGTCAGTAAGTCAGTCAGTCAGCCAGTCCGTCAGTCCGTCTGTCAGTCAGTCAGTCAGTCCGTCTCTCAGTCAGTCAGTGTCTGTCAATCTGTCCGTCAGTCAGTCAGTCAGTCAGTCAGTCAGTCAGTCAGTCAGTAAGAGTGGTTGTTTGTTGCTCTCTTTATTTGTTCAATTTGTTTGATTATTTGTTTTATGATATTCAGAGGCACACTGGAGGCGTATGTTCAGTCCGTCAGATCACGAGGTGAAAAAGAATTTGCTGCTATCTATCCCATCATGCTTAGGATTCTTCAAGCTGCCAGCGGCTCGCCAACCCCTTGACACTGTGCAGAAGGGAATCCATAATTTTGACTCGCACTGTTTTGCAGGGCAAGTCTAATGCAGGGTATATACTATAGGGAATATGAGAAGGGAAAGGGGATAGTTGATATTCAGATTGGTATATAGCATATCTTTCAAAAACCAGAAATTGGTAAAAACTGTGGTAGTAACTGAGTTGTAGTTTTAGTTTTTGACATTAAAGGCACCCTTTATTTTATCGGGTACAAATAAGCAAGGTCACTTCTAAAACGCCAAAGAGTGGGCGAAACATGGCTGTAGGAATTAGATCGCTATACGTATAGAAAACGGGAAAGAACAATTGCTACAACTTAGCTCCACACTGTTCTTTCAGAATTAAGTTATTGAGTAAATAATATTCAGAATATATTGACTTGATACGCGTCCGCCAAGTTAGCTTTCAGTCCTTTGACACCAAATGTCCTCATTAGTATCTAATGGCGGGTACAGATGTGTTTAATAAGTTGGAAGCGGGGGAGGGGGTCGGGGGGGGGGGNTCTGACTGAATTTAGATTGACCAACAAGTGCTAACCGTCTGCTTCAGACGGGTAGACCGGGCCTAATTAAATTAAGGCAATTTTTTTTTTCTTGGGGGGGGGGGGGGGGGGGGGGGGTTTAGAGGAAGTAAAGATGATGTTTTGATGGCTTAAAATATCAGTTGGAAACAATATGAAGGCGAGGGTTGTTTTCCTTGCTCTAAAACGCCCCACCCTTTCAGTGCCTTCTCATAGACTTCTTGGACTTCTTCGCTTTTTAAATTAAAGTGTCTATATGGCCAACAGGAGTTTTTGTGGTTTGGTATCTCTACAATGTGTAAAAAGGTATTCTATGAAAAGAAACTGGATTCCGACATTTTAACGCCTAAAGATCTAACTTTAAAGTTCCCGCTTCAGCCACGCCCAATGAAGTTGACCGTGAGTCAGTGCAGAAAAAGAGTCCGGGTGTCTGAATGGGTCGTGACGTCAAGTCAGGAATTGCCAAATCCTGCTATTTCAGGTCACTGTTGTTTCAGTAGTGGTTAGTCAAGTCAAGTCAAGTTTATTGTGTATATACATTTAGCTTTTGTGGTTAGGAGTTTTCGTCGACAAAAAGCAAACAAACCGAAGTTGGTGAAATAATGCGGTCGTCAATCAAGCTAAATAAAAACATGAAGCTTTGAGATGTTCCTGAAGTGACGTCATTCGTCACCAATCTTTCATTACGCGGTCAGCTTCATTGGGCGTGGTCGAAGCGGAAAATTTAAAGCTTGATTTCATGGCAAAAAAGCATTGGAATTAATTTTTTTTTTTTTTTGGTTTAAATACATTTTTACATGTTATAGAGATACCAAAAACCACAAAAACCCTGTTGGCCGTATAGACACTTTTAGTCTTATCAGAAAATTCGAAAAAAAGTCCTGTAAAAAGGCATTGTAGTAAAGAGCATATTTATATAGCGTAACCCATCAGTTTAAAAGCAATTTAGATAAACAAACAAACAAACAAACAAAAACTTTGTAAGGACCAGCTATCCATTGGGCCAGATGAGAAATATTTAGGGAGAAAAATCCGAGAACTCCCTCTACAACAGAAATGAGATTGAAAACCACCAAATTTAACATCGAATGAAACCAAAAATGACGTTATGTTTGACGGAAGACCGTTAAACGCCAAAGAGTACCCCCCACGCACACACACACATATTAATTTTGTCTCTGTTAGCAGGACTATAGATTGTCAAGTAATTAAGGGTTTTTCGTGAAGATAAATTTCTCTTTAGAGTTGCCTTCAAACGACTCTACTTTCACGCTTCATCTCAAAAATCATAAGTCGCTGTAAAAGACTAGATTTTAAATGTCGTTAGATTAAGAAGTGCTGTACTAATTGAGCGCTAGTAAATAACAAAAATATATTGCAAATTTAACATAAACTTGGTTAGAATCCCGATAGGTTGAAGAACAAATCCATAGGTGCCAGGATGGAGCTAGGCGGCTATAGATTCAAAACCAGACCCCTAAACTACTCGGCCACGCCACTTCTAAAGCACCAAGTGTTATGTACACTTCACATTGCACAATTCCATGATCAATTCCAAATATTTTCCCACAAGAGGTAATCAACGTAGCATGGCCTCACTCCAGAATCTGTTGCAAAATTATGGGAAGTGTATACAAACACTAACAGCCTTATGGTTATGTTATGATGTCACCGGTAGGTTGCTGTTGTCAGGGTCGCTTTGTAACGCCGGCCGCGTTTGTTCCGTTCTCAGTTGTTTATGTATTGTATAAGGCATTGTTGGGGGAGGGGACGGGGTGTGCGTGCCTCTCGTTTGATATTAAACCATGTTATTCTCTATTTTCTAATTGCCCATAATTCACTCTGTTTGTCCCCCGAAATTATGCATAAATAATTGTGGTACAGTGTAAAATGTTCTTGGGAGGGCTGCATATTCCCAAGAGCATTTCACAACAATAGTTTTATGCAAAATTTAGGGGGCAAACAGCGAATTATGGGCAATTGGGAAATAGACAATGTATCAATTTAGTTAGAAAGGTCCTCTTGTCGCTGTCAAAAGTTCAGTCAGCGACTGGCTATGAGTAACACAGGGCAGAACCTTCTCGGGAGTTTAAATAAGGCCGCAGTAAATGCTAACAAGTGAGGAATTTCTCCACTCGATGAATACTTGTTTCTCCAATTTTATTAGGAGTTTTGACCGTATTAGTTGAATTAAAACGACGTGTTCCTGAGACTTTTTTTTTTTCAAATTAGTTCAAGTTTCTCGACCAATTAAAACGTTATGTGACTGAATTAAGAACAGACTAACAGAGCAGGAGCTTCTCGGTCTTCTTAATGAAGCGGTTAAAGTAATCTCTTGAGCAGTGTATAAACGACGTGACTATCTTAAGTGCACAGAGCAGAGCTTTCTGGGGGTCTAATTAGGCAATTAAAGCGGACTTAAAGGGGCTAGGACACGCAATTTTAGGCAATTTCAGCACTGATTAAATGGGCATAGCCGTTGACTAAAATATCACAAAAACGGCTCAAAACTATAGATCTCAAACAAAACACAGGAAAGCCAAGAAGGGACATGGATGGACAAAACTGGAGAGGATTAAAATGGATTGCATTTGGGTAAATTTGACAAACGTTGGCCCACCTTTTTTCAAATTTATATCAGTTTATATCAAAATGTCATTTACACAGCTGGAAAATCATTTTCAGTTGTTGTGTGGCCGTGATTTTGCAAATGAAAAACTTTTGCTCTGCCAATTTGACGTTTAGAGCTCATAATTAATAAAATTAAACAAAATTACCTAAAATAGCGTGACCTAGCCCCTTTAATTTCTTGACCGAGTTGTCTTCAACAGAGCAGGGGTTTAAGACTATTAAGACTACGTTTACATCTCGGTTGATGTAGCAATCACCTATCTTAAGTGCCCAGAGCAGGGGTTTAACAATAGAGCGATTGTCTAAAGCAGGGGTGAATCCAGGATTCTTCAAGGGGCCGGGTGGTGGTGGTGGTGGCTGATACCTTGGGGCTACAGAATCAATGGGGCATGCACAAAATTTTGCAATTTGAGAATTGCCTTGAAACCAAATTGAAAACTACTCCACGAGAAATACTAGCAATTCCACAAAGTAGATATTACAATGCGGTATCTGTCCTGAGCGTTTGCATTTATTTCTGTCTCAATATTCAATCGCAATTTTTGTGGGTTTTGCTTCTCCAAAAAGGGGATTGGCTAGCCACCTAACTAAATCTGCCCCGGTGGGGGCTTTTCAACTAATTTTAGGCAATGAAACGTACTTTTACATTTCAAATGATGTAAAAACTCTCGAGTGCACAGAGCAGAGTCTCCGGTATTTTGAAGCAGTGCAAATTGTTTTCACATCTTAATCGAGGTATTTTGATGAGGCAGTTAAGAGTGAGTTAAATTCTGAGAGTGCTTAATTTTAAAGGGGCACGATCATGCCAAGTGCACAAAGCAGGAGTTTCAAAGGCATTTGAATGTGGCACTTAAATCTGGCTAATTCAGGGACGGTGTCATCTAGAAAGAAGCACTCCGCTGATAAAGCTCTCCCAGTGGACTACCAGTGTTGACAACCCATAATTCTAAAGTATCTTTTGTAAAATCTAAAATGGCACCTCCTTCCGCACAGGATCTGGCTTCGCCCAATGCATTGAGCCCTGAGCTTGGAACAGAGTTTTTTTAATTTCCCTTGCTGTAATGGCATGTGCTCTTACTTATTAAAAAGTGTACCCTCCCTGAAAAATCGTGAATGCTTTCCAGTGTGGCCCGCCATGTTCCTATCAGTTATATAACAGTGATGCTTGGTTAGAATTTGTAACTTATTTGATAATTTAATGGAGCGCTCCGTCCAATAATTAAGGTCAGTTATTGTTTATCTTTTATTTGACGCCACGGCTGCTTTCATTCAAGGAAAGTGGCAATTGCAATTTAGGCAAGCCGTTTCCTTTGAACTATATTGTGTATTGAAGCAATGACTTGGAAATCAACCAAACTAAACTTTGCTTTCTGTTTTCCTTTAACGAGAGCCTCCTCCCGGGGGTTGGGGGGTACTTCCAGAAAAGTTGGGTGTGGGTGTGCGGTCCACTTCCCACTTCCCAAAACCCTCATCCTATTTATGACCAAAAATTGCGTTTTTTGCTTCCCTATTTATGGCCTGATCAAATGTTCGATAGTTGCCCTAAAACATAAGTTATGAAGGGCTTTTGTTGACGGCTTTATTGATAATGATGAAAAAGAAAGCTTCTAAGAAACATACCCATTTCAAGACTAGAGTGCTAAAACCATACCCAATTTTTAACCAAAATGGCCAAAATCGATACCCTATGTATAACCAAAACGGCTGAAAAACCAAACCCTTTGGGGCCGCACATACCTATATAGCCCATGTAAGGGAGTACCCCCTCCCCGGAATGAGAGCAATCGCCTGAATTTGAAGTAAAGCGATCGCCGTGTTGTAGGCCGTGGACTTTTTCTCAAAGAATATCTGGGAAATTTTGGAAACGGAATTAACGAGAGAAGAATTTGAGGTTTGTTGTGGCTGTGGTCGTACAGGGTCAAGGATCAGTGTGGTTTACTAAATCTGTTTTAAATGTTAATTCTTCCCACTTTACTTACTCCTTTTTTAATAATGCACATTGAGAGAATCTGCTGTAACAAAACTACCCATGAACAGTCTGTGTTAATTTGTATTGGCAAGGTGCTGAGAATCTCAGTTATAATCACTACTACACCGAGTTTAAAAATTAAAAAAAAAAAAATGCAATTCCTGGAGTATAGTGTATTCATGAAGCTCGCAAACCTGTATTAAGCGGACACCCTCTATTAAGACAAGCAATAGACTGCAAGGCTGATACTAGGTGAAAAACGTTTCGAGAC